ACTGATCTTATAGGACCCTCCCACACACATGTGCGTAGGACCTTAAAGGATCACTATTAAATTTGACACAAATATCTAGAAAAGTCAAGTCCCACACTCATGTGATAAATTTTCTAGAGACTTGTGCCAAATTTAATAGTGATCATTTGGGGTCCTACACGCATGGATATGGGAGGGTCTTATAGAACCATTACTCATATATAGATATGGGAAAAGTTTATATAAGGTTGCAACCTTAATTTATAGAATTATAGGTGCACCTCAAAAATCTATCAAAAAAAGTTGTTTTAATGTTGAAAAAACCTCTAATTGATCATCTCGATATCAAGATGTATAAATATGAAAGAAAACAAAGATTCTGAGTCCCAGAAATAGTTCATCTTGCAATACAATATCTAAACTGTCTATTTTCAAAATTTTCATATGTTCATAGATCGGCCTGTTTTTAACCATTTTTGGAGTTTAAAATTTTACAATTAGATATAAAAATAGATCTTGAGATAATTCTAAGAATTTTATCAACAAAATTACATGTTATGATAAATTTTGGAGGTACGCCTTAATTGGATTGTTTAAGGTTGCAACCTTATAGAAACCACACTCCTATATATATATATATAGGATTCAAAACCTTCAAATTATAAAGATTAAATGTTAGAATGAGTTGTGAAAGGTAGATTTACCATGTAGTTTCTTTTTAAAAAACATTTACTTTTGTTGGTGTCTTCTTATAAAGTTAGAGTGTTTGTGTAAATATCACTTAAAAATAATTGGTACTTTTGTGAACTTCATAAAGGGTTAAATGGAGATTTTGACTAAAGGACATCCACATTATAGAAATAAAGTTGCAGGACGCTAACTTCCAAATGACTATTATATTTTGTGAAACTTTTAAATTTGTCTTTATTTAAGGATTAAGTTACTTATTAAGATTTTTTTTTAACTGAAAAATAAGTGATTTTTTTTTTATAAATACACCCCTCAAATAATTCAAATTAATATAATGCCACACGCCACATTGCAATGACTTCACATGTTCAATTAAAGCCTATTTACAGATAAAGATAATACCAAATTTCAATCATTTTTTTGTGATCTAGATCATCTTTGGTATTAGACATGCTATTTATGAGTTATGACGTAAAAGCTCTTTTATTGGACAAATTTCAGCCTCTAATATTGCTCAATGTGAACGTCAGTACACATGCATTTCTCCCCTTTTCCCATTTTTAATATAGATGATTCGGAAATGGGAAGTATCGGAATTGCCCCTCTCATAATACCAAGTCATGATCTAAAGGAAAAAGTTTATATAATGTTGCAATGATAAAATGTACAATTAAATATGCGCCTCACAAATCCATCGGAAACGGTTGTTTTAATATTGAAAAACCCTTTAATTGATCATCTCAACATTGAGATATATGTATATGAAAAAAAAAATTACATTTTGAGTCTCATAAATAATGCATCTTGCAACATAGTATCTAGACCGTCCATTTACAAGATTCTCATATGTTTATAGATCTACTTGACTTTAACCATTTTTGGAGTTTAAAATTTTATAATTAGAGATGAAAATAGATTTTCAGATAATTCTAAGAATTTTTTACACCAAAATTACATATTATGATAAAATTTGGAGATGGGCATTAATTGGATTGTGCAACCTATTACATACCACACCCTAATCTAAAATGGTAGTGCTCCTTTTCAAGGTTAAGGTTTAAAAACAAGCTTAGCTGACTCAGATCGGCCCCATGAAAACCCTGATTTTCCCTATGGAAAACTGTTTGAGAGGGGGAGATATGTAGTCAGGATTGGTGATACGGCCTAGTGAACCGACAAATAAAAAAATTTAAAAATTAAGGAATAAAAAATAAAATGAATCCAGTTCTCTGACAGAACTGCCAGTTCTGTCAGAGAACCGGCCAGTTCATAAGGGAAATCGGCCTGACTGATTCCTTTTTTAGATCGACCAGTTTCGATGCGGTTTATCGAATTGAAAACCTCATATCATTTCTCTCTAAAAAAAGATCATATGAGATGTTTTCCATCTTAAAAACCCCTTTTTGGTTACCTCCTCCTACACAGAACTGGGAAAGAAGTAGGGAAACATTTTTTAATATGCATATTATGTACTTAAACGTTCCATTTCCAGCAATAAGCAGCCAAAAAATAAAAGAATACAATATATCATAAATAAATAGACACAAAAATCGCTGGCTCTTTCCTTAATTTTCCCAATAAAATGGGGGACTTCATTTCACTAGGAATATTTTTGTATTACAAACCTCTGAGTGCTGAACCCCGGACCACACATAATCGGATCGAAAGCCACCTGAAGTGCTTAGTTGCAATATAAAAATTTATTAAAAAAGTGGGTTTACTTGAATAAATGTTTCAAACACTGGGTTTAATGGAGGAGCTATACCCATTGTCCTGGGCCCTGGACCACAGCATGACCCCTCCATACTTGCTGGCTTGCTTGACCACGGGAAGCACTTGCGAGATCAGGGTGTCTGCCGGAATGAAACCACTGCCTGCGGCTTGCGGCGACGCTGGCAACCCCAAGAAGACCTGGCTCACAGTAATGGATGTCGTCCACTGTGTCCACGCATTCGAGAGCCCCGTCAAGTCGGAGCTGTACTGGCATGGAAGATTGTTGTAGAATTGCACCCACACGTAGTCAAAGAGGCCGGTGTTGAGTGCTCCACCCATCCATGCGTCGGGGAACGGACACTGAGGGGCTGCCGTCAGGTACACCTTCTGGCCCCGGTTAGCTAGGCTCCTGGCGAGCTCGTCCCAGTACTGCATGGTTCCCCTCTCGATATCGAAATCGATGCCATCAAGCACTGCATCTCCCAAGGGGCGTGACGATGACTGGCCTCCGAGGAAGTTGTTCCAGAGGTAGTCCGCAACGTTCCTGGCGTCGTCTGCAGAGTCTAGGCCATAGCTTCCTGCTCCACCTCCTATGGAGAGCATGACCTTCACCCCTTGGCTCTGACAGGATTTTATCTGGTCGCTAAAACCAGCACAATTACCAGAGGGAGGGTCGCAGTGGCCGGCGAGGTTGATCTGCGGAGTCTGACCCCTGCCGAAGGTGGAGAGGAAGGCGATGTTGACATAAGCGAAGTTTCTAGTGGAGCAAGTATCCTCCAGGGATCCTTCATTGCCATTTTGGCCCCAGTAGATGGCAATGCTGCCTGCTTCGGACCGGGCGGCAAGAATGGAGAGCACTAAGAAAGCAAGAAACAACAGATTCTTATGGGAGGAGAGACAACGCGAGGCCATGGTTGCAGGAATTGCAGGCTTGAAATGGATGAGATGAGAAGAAGCCATGGATCCTTTTATATACGCTGCGCGATATCGTTACTTCTCCACGACGCCTTGCTTCTTTCTACCACCGTGAGGACTTTGAGCTGCCATTTCTTTCTCCGCAAGGATCCAAATGGAAAATGCAGGCACGATGAAACTTTCAAATTTATGCTCGACATTGAGATGTTAATAGGACAAGCCAGCAATGGGCTTTCAACATGGTCCCTGTTTCCGGTGTTCGGGCTACATGCTAGAGCCTGCAAGCGGGTCTTGGCAATCTATAGTATTTTAAGCCAGGGCTAGAAGGCTAGCCCGCTCATTATGGCCCTGGCCTACCTTGCAGGGTTTCAGGCAGGCCTCGGGCCCTGATGGTCGCGGCCTAACAGCCGTACCTAGGAGGGGACACACGATATGAAGTTCTTGACTTTGGGGTGCGCATGATTTTCCTCAGTCGGGCCGCCTATTTACTTTTATTGACTTTGGGGTGCGTCATGTCGGGCCCATTTTGTTTCCCCGAGCACACGGCTTCTTTTGCGTTTCCACGGTTCCTTGCCGGGTCACGTATGCAGTATAAGTTGACCTCTCCTCGCTCTCACTCTTTGTCGCAATCTCCTCTTTCTTATTTTTTTTGGGTGAGTAAGTAGGGAGCGAGCTCTACTCTTGGTAGAAATTGAGCATGGGACGGAGCATTGCAAATCGTCGAATGCTAATCAATTAGACCGGAGCTCTTTCCTAATATCTTTTTTCTTTGTTATACGCATTTTGAGGTGTAGGACATATTCAATTTGATTAGTAATACCTTTCTATTTTTCTTTTATTTTTTCTCCCAGTCATTTTCTCTGTCTAAGGTTTTTTCGTGCCACGACAACAACGCAGGGTTGGTGTATTCTAGCATTCGGAAAAAATTTGGAAAATATGACCTCTTTTTTTTTTAGGAAAAATTACAAAAAATACCTTCAAATGAACTATTTATGCAACTTACCCCCACCTCAATCTTTTCTCACATTTTTTTCCCCCAAACAACATTTCATCGCCCCCCTCAAGGTAAAAAGTTCTTATTTTTTTGATGGAAATGCCCTTCTTGTACAAACCAAATCAATTCGCTGATCCAAGTAGGGTAGTGCCGCAGCGCAGTATACTACTGTCGGAGCGCGGTGCTACATTGCCGGAGTGCTATGGCTCCAGAAACTTCATTGCTGGAGAGAACTGCCAGAGCGCGTATTTTCACTGGCGGAGCGCATTCTCAGAATGCTGGAGCTTTGCGGGTTAGACAAATGACTATTGGAGCGCACATTGGGACTGCCGGAGCTCAGTTCTCAGTATGCCGAAGCGTTGTGGGTCAGACAAAGCACTGCCGGAGCGCACATTGTGACTGCCAGAGCGTGCATTCGGACTGCCGGAGCGTAGTCCTCCATTGCCGGAGTGTTGTGGCTCCAGAGGCTTACCAGAGTGGACTGTTGGAGCGTGTAGTTGCATTGTCGGAATGAGTTATCAGAATGCCGGAGCGCATATTGGGATTGTCGGAGTGCGTCTTTACTGTCGGAGCGCAGTCCTCCATTGCCGGAGCGTTGTAGCTCCAGAGGCTTCAATGACGAAGCGTGTAGTGGCACTGCCGGAGCGAGTTATCGATATGCCGGAGCGCTGTGGGTTAGACAAAGCACTGTCGTAGCCCACACTGTGTTGCCGGAGTGCATGTCTTTACTGCCGGAGTGCAGTCCTCCATTGCCGGAGCGCTGTGGCTCCAGAGGCTTCATTGCCAGAGGGGACTACCGGAGCGTGTAGCTTCACTGCCGAAGCGAGTTATCAGAATGCTGGAGCGCTGTAAGTCAGACAAAGCACTGCTGGAGTGCACATTCGTACTGCCGAAGTTCACATTGGTACTGCCAGAGGGCAGTCCTCCAATGCCGGAGCACTTTGGCTCCAGAGACATCATTGCCGAAGCTTGTAGTTGCGCTGCACTGTAGGAGCGTGTAGTAATGATGTTCCATGGTGGTGCCCTAGTCTTCTCAGTAATACGCATTGTAATAATGGCTCATGAGTCCTAAAAAAAATGATGTAATACCACATGATTCACCTTTATTCATATGGGCTACATTTTGAAGCTTATGATATTTTTCCATTAGAATGCTAATTGATACATTTAGAGAGCTTAACAAAGTAGCTACCTCATTGCAGATAAAGGTAAATATTACCTCTGACATCTTCTCCATTCTCCCAAGAAACAATCATATCTATCCGGATGCATGCCATGTATGTTGTAAAATTACAACCTTCACATTTAAGTACTTAAAGCCTTTCTCCTACAATTTGTATTTGCCAAACTACTTTTTTGGTATTTTGCATTTCCTTTCAAGATTACATTGTTGTATTCGCTGGTTATGCCAGCCAAGAGAGGCATCCCCCTCATCAAAGTGCAACTTCATTCTTTCATTCAAGTTAAGCTTTTAACAACCACAAAAAGGAAAATGTAGAGATGAATAAAACCGCTAACAAATTAATCAAGTCGGACAAGTCTCCTTTGAGTCTTACATACCAGATTGTTGCAAAATCCACAATTCTAAAGTACCATCAAGTTATAATGAAGTTATTGTCAATCACTTTTATTTACTAAAATGGTCCCTCTATCTTGCCGCAGTTACCAAATTATTTTTTGGAACAAAGTTACATAAAGCAAATACACCAAAAATTTGAACTCAAGTCTCATATTTAAGTTTCAACTCTCAAGCAATATAATAAGAGGTGAGCATCCAAAACATAGCTTAAGGTCACAATAAAATTGCATTCCTCACAGCAAAAGCACGTCAAGCTCGAAATACAGTAACTCACACTAATTTTAAGTCAAAATCCTTTAAGATAAAATAACATAACTGTGAAATGCATATATCCAGGCACATTGCTTCATGGGCAATTAAATTCACCACTCTGTAAATAGAGAAGAAGACATATTGGACTTTCCCCACAAATGAGATTCACTAACTTAACACAACAGGGGTAACAAATGCATAGATTCACTTGATGAGATCGCACCAACTCAGGCACACATGCATGGAAATCCATGAATATATGAAATCACGAATGAGAAAACATTATCATTACATATTCACAGTCCATAAGGGAGTCAATCGTCGTTCCAAAACAATTATAACCCACTAATTATGTTACAACTTCTAATCTAACATGATCAGAGGCCAAGGTCTATAAATCATAGAACACTGAAGTTATCCTTTGCATGATGTCTTAATCATGATAATGAATATAAATAAACAAGAAGATGAAACTTTGAGGGAAAAAAAAAGAACTTAAAGAAGAAAATAAGATCATGAAGATAAAGGACTAATGACTTTTTGACAAAAAAAAGAACTAATGACTTTTTGACAAAATTAGTATATATCATGAAGATAAAGGAAACTGAGCAAGGAATGTATCTAGCCTGGACAAATAGTTACAATAAGAGATAATACCTAATTGTACTCGACAAATCCTAACAAAAAAGGAGAAATTGAACAAAATCATGAAAATATCCACAGCGATAGGTAAATGTTTAGATAGAAAGGCCGAACTGAGCTACATTCATCATACAAGAAATCAAGAAATCATTTTGATTTCTTTTTTCTTTTTTGAAGTTGTTGAGGTGATACTGATATGGGATTGCACAAAATAATAAGATTCAAAAAAAAATCAAAAGGGAGAATGAGGAACAGTCATATACCTGAAAGAGGCAAAACCCCACAGATCGGGCGTTTACAAAGAACCCAGGGTTTCGTGGTCTCTTAGGTAAAGAGAGAGGGAGAGAGCTCGGGCCTTCTCTGTGTGGTAGAGAGGTTGGCCCAAAGTTCCTTCGAAAAGAGAGAGGGACAGAGCTTCAACCACGAGAAAGAGCATAAGAGGTGGGAGCTCGGGCCGGAGAGAGACCGAGAGATTGAAAGGGAGCTCGGGCCGGAGAGAGAGCGAGAGATTGAGAGTGAGCTCGAGCCTTCAGGTGAGAAAGCCAGAGAGAAACTCCAAAACGAGCCTTTTCCTACTGTGGGTAAAAAAAACTAAGGGAAACAGGATAGAGACACTAGGTAAATAAAAAAGTGGGAAACAGGAGAGAGAAGACTGTGTGAAAAGAAACGAGGGTACTTTAGTCTTATTTCATGTTACTTTTGGGTTCGGGGGGTTTTTGCGAGGAAAGATTGTTTGGAGGAAAAAAATGTGAGAAAAGATTGGGGTTGGGTCGAGGTAAGTTCAATAGATAGTTTATTTTAAGGTTTTTTTTGTAATTTTCCCTTCTTCTTTTTTTCAAATTCTGGTTTGACACGTGGTCCTTTACATTATGGAATCTTGCTTGTGTGAAAAAATGCTCCAAATTTGACCATTGTTGGCAAATGTGAGTATGCTTCGTAGTGCCCTTTGACTCATTTGAGTTCACCGGTTTAGGCTCGGGAATTGAATCTAAAACCCTTTTAACTATGGGCATAAAATAGAGGTTACAGGTTTGTTCTTTATTGAAGTCGGAAAATTGCCTAGTATGGATCAGCAGGAGGTAGCTGGTCCCTTATGTTCAGTTGGTAGCTTTGAAAGCAAAGACCAAAACCATCAATATTACAGCTGCACAACAATGTACACACACATGATGACCACATATATGAGAAACAACACAATACAGTTAGACATGCGCATGTGAACAAAAGCCTCCTGCACCATTTCCATAGTGTGCATATTTGGAAAGGCCACAAGGTGGAAATATTGACATTTTGTTTTTAAAGGCAATCATGAAAATTAATGGTTTAAAAAATGGATCGGTGCCTTGGATCGAGCATCTCAAAACCTATCCAGATCGGTGAACCAGATATCCGAATCAAGAATCGACCGAATCGGTCAGATTAAACCTTAACAAAAATCTAAAAAAAATATTAAAATTCATTATAAATATTGTTTTTTAAGAATCCAATAAGAAATGGAGATACTACATTATTAACTTTCATTTTTTTCACCAATGTACGAATATTGAGATGTTATTTCCCTGTATAAACTTATGTTAACCATTAAATTTACATCACACAAAAGAAAAATCATAGAATTATCATGGATGAAGTATATAATCATACATGGAATACAATGAAGAATAGATTAAACTGATGAA